GCTATGAGGCAGAGATGGGAGGAGGTTCTGTGGCCAGTCAGTCTAGCTAATAGGCAAGCTTCAAGTCAGTGAGAAACTCCATGCCAAGGGAGGTGGGGAATGTTCCTGAGCATGACACCTGAAGTTGTCCCTTATCTTCTACATACACACACACATACACACACACACATACACACACAGACACACACACACACACACACACACACACACACACACACACACACACACACAAGAGCACACACACAAGAGCACACACATTTAAAAATCCATAAAAGTTTGGGGTTGGTGTGTATTTGTGTGTGATGCATGTGTGTGTATCTGTGTGTGCATGTGTAAGTGCATGCATATGTGTTTGTGTGTGTGTGTTTTTGTATTAGTGAGTACATATGTGTGCATGTATGTATGCATATGATCATGAATGTGCAGGCACATGGCCTATAGAAACTAGAGCAGGACTTAGGGTGTCCTCCTCAATTGCTTTCTGTCTTATTGTTTGGAGGCCTTTTCTCACTAAACTGAAAGGCTTGCCATTTTAGCTAGTCTGGCATCAGCAAAATCTTGGAATCTGCCATCTCCATCCCACCTCCAGCCCCGCCATGTTGGGCCCTGAAGCATGTACAAGCATGGTCTTCTCTGGGTGTGGGTGCTGAGGCTTTGAGCTCTAGTCCTTGTGCTTGCAGAGAAAGTGCACTTACACACAGAGCCGTCTTTCCAGTTCTCACAGGGAAATTTATTCCGCCATAAAGAAGAATGAAGTCATGTCATTTATAGGCAAATGGATGAAACTGGAGGCGATCATATTAAGTGAAATAAGGCGGACTCACAAAGACAAATACCACAAATTACCTCTTACACGTGAAGTCTCAATTCACATATATCACACACACACACACACACACACACACACACACACACACACACACGGTATAAGGGGGCTATTTGTGGAGCTGGGAGGAAGGACAAGGAAAGCCAACAGGAGTGAATACAGGCAAGGACATGATATTCTTTTCCCCCTTTTCACGCGTATGTGGTGTGTGTATAGTGTGTGCATACATATGTGTGTTCTCATGCATGTATGTGTGTGTATGTGTTTGTATGCATATGTGTGTGCATGTGTTTGTATGCATATGTGTGTATGTGTCTGTGCTAATGTATGTATGTGTGTGCATTTGTGTAGCGTGTGTATGCATATGTGTATATGCATGCATTTTGATGACTCTTTTACATCACTATCTGCAGCAAAGTCTTTTATACAAACACAGTCAGCCATTTGGCTAGTCTCACTAGCCAGATTTTCCCAGGGATTCCTTATCTTCACATTCCGAGGTTGGGATTATCAGGGAGCCACCACACCCATCTGACATCTACATGGGTTCTGGAGCCCCGAACTCCAGAATTCTTGCTTGAGCTGCAAATGCTTTATCTGCGGAGCTGTCTCCCCAGCCCAAAAAATGTGACATTGTTGGATGAAAAGATCATTATAAAACCCATAACCTTGTACAATAAGTGTATGTTTAACAACCAGAAAAAAAACCAGCATTCTGAAGAGGTAGTTAAGTTTCTAGGAAGGTGGATCATGTGACAGGGAGACAGACAAACAGTAATGCCTTCCTAAGTCCTTCCTCAGAAAGATTTAATGGATGCATAACTGCACTGGGAAAAGGGTCATACCTGGATACCCTTAGGACCATTGAGCATAGAAAATCTGAATTGATACAGATAGGCGACAACCTAGATCACATGGTTATCCTGTTAGACTGAGGTTGTATGAGGCCTTGACAAATGTCTGGTGGTTATTTACCCCTTCTTTAGTATATATTTGGTCTTGATAAAATGTAATAGAGATATATTAGTTCATAAGATTAGTGCTACCTGGGTAAAGCCTTGGACCTGCCCCTACACTTCAATACCCTAGGAGTACCCCTAATATTGTTCAGAAATGACACATCCTACATATATGAGGTGTGAAATGCCAGGATGAGGAAATTTGGGATGAAGTACAAGATAATTGACTTAACAATTTTATCCTTATTTGTTGAGCCATAGAAGAGTTTTTCAAAAGTTTCCTGAGTGATGCTGTCTGATATTTAATAGACTACAGGGTTTTTGAAAGAGAAAAGTATTTAACAAAAATTCAATCACCAAGGACAAAAATGACAATACAATCGAAATTTTCTCACTATTGTCCTACTGCATATAAAATATATGACTTTGAAGTGCTGAAGGAAGTAAAGTTTGTGGACTTGGTTCACATGTATGCAAACTCATATATGAACTGAAATTATTCACCATGCAAATAAATAATAATGATGTGACAAATGTCCCCAACATGAGTCAATGTGGAAAGGATTTTAACTGTAACCTGTATGGCTATGTATTATGTAACTGATTACAAAAAGTATGCAAAAAGTCTGGAAAACACATTCCATATTGATCAAGTTGCTTCTCAATTTATGCACCACTCCTTTAGATTCAATTTTAATGATACCACCTTGACAAAGGAGTTAATGAATTTACTCAACTTTAATAGTCTTGAGCTTGAAGTAGATAACACATTTACTTCCAGGCTAAAATAATTCTTTAAAAATACACTTCGGTTTTGTTCACATAGATACACGTTTTAACACAAATATCATTTTTGGTAACTGACTCAGGTATCTATACATTTTAAAGCATGTTTGGAACAACTTGGGAATGTGAATCTACCTCTTCAATGTCAGGTATATCCTGATGAAAATTTAGCCCCTGAGTTGAGATAATCTGTAAATATAAAACATAAAGATCCATAAAATGTTATACAAAAAGTATCTCTCCAATCATTTATTTCATGTTGAAATAATATTTTAGAAATATTAGATTAAATAGTATACTTTCAAAATTAAGTGTGTTTTCTTTTACTATTAATTTTCTGCTAGAAATTTTTAAATTATGTATGCTATCCAATGTTACATAACTTACTTCTACTGACTATACTGATTCAGATCTCCTTAATCTGTATTATGTAAGAAGGCAGGCAGGAAAATTAGCTTATGCTCCTGATAAAGAAATACAAGAGAAAAGCTTACACTATGTAAATGATGTTGATGTGTACTATTTCTGAGTCTTCTTAGCAATAGTAAGAACAGGACCAAATGCCAAATCGATGGCTGTATGCCATGTACCCAAGGCTGTTGTGACTAACATTCCTGGAGAAGCTAAGGTTACTATCTCACTTAGCTTTCAGTAACCCAGTATCTTCAAATTCTATCCCATGTTAGCAAGAACAAGACTCACAAATCAAATGGAACTTGATGTATACCACAGACCATGAACCTTCCCATTACTAAATCACACCGCCAATACTAGTAGTCATCTCTAAGATGTGATACTGGTTTGATTTTGACCATGAAAGAAGAGAGGGATGGTTACTTTCCTAAGAAAGCTGAATACAAATATTTCCACTCTGGGGCTGGACATGGTGACACTCATCTATCATGTCAGCACTTTGGAGGCAGATGCAGGAGGATGTAGAGTTTCTATTTCATAGTGCATAAAACAAACAAACAAACAAACAAATCTAAAAGAAAAAGCTAACATGTATTATATCCAGATAAATTAATTAAATAATGGAAACACAGAACCTTGTTTTAAAATGCAGCAAATTCATTTTTTACTTAACAGAACTAGGGGATCATCTATGGCGATGTAAGCTCATTTTTTTCCCATCAAGGTGAAAATTATCTTTGAGAAATATAAAGAAATTTTAAAAAATATCTATGCCACAAATCTGATGTATATGGATTTCAAACTGCGATTTGTTCAGAATTTGAAGGTCAAATTGAAACAAAATATACCCAAGCATTAAGTGTGTCACATATCTTAATATTGCTTGATTTATCTAAAACTAAGGTATTGAAAATTTCAAGTTTTATGCCAATATATTTTTGATACTGTTAAAAATGTTTGGCATTCTAATGATACTTGTTATGTTGCTTAACTGGACACTTTTTAGTGATTTAAAATGTATTTTCACATAACTTTATGAGGTAAATATAGCTAGAATAATGATTTCTTTAATCATCTGCACATCTCTAAATCATTTTCTATTTTGTATACTAGTTCAAGGCATCCTGGCCTTGGCAAACATTCAAATCTTGTTAAGATTAACAAAATTATTGATGGATGGTAAATTGTAATGTCAGGTGACTTTTATTGATTACTTTCCCACTGTTGAGAGGGGAAGCCGTTTACTATATTCTGGCTTATAAAATTCATTATGTATTTGCTGAAAATGTCTCAATAGTCCTCAGAAGTCCACTTTATTAGTTTGAGGCTTTTTTTTAAAATACAACAACTTTTTATTTTGTTTGCTTCTGCAAATTTCAAAACCAATTATTATGTATTTTGAGGTTTGCTTCCTTTCAGTCTCTTTTTTAACTTGTCAGTACGTGCTTCTGCTTGTTCACTCACTTTTGCATCCCTAAGATACCTTCATTTTGATTTGAGAAAATGCACATTTATTTCAATTAGAAAAAATTAATTAGAATTTTGATGACAATTTCAATTTAATTATGGATTACATTTTATGTGGGCATCGTTATATTATTCACACAAGCACAATATGACACAAAAATCTGTAAAAATTCATCCAAAATTTTGTTGGCACCCACTCAGTACGAGATATATGTATATACAAATTTAGAAATAATGTATATTCTTGATACATGCTCTACAATTAGAGCAATAGCATACTCTCTGAATGACATGTATGCTGGTGAAATTATTAAGGCCACTCCACGTAGTTAAAAGGGAGGTTTATTTTGTGGGGTAACTTACAAGTGAAGGGATAGGTTACAGGGTCTGGGAAAGGTGTAATGCAGTCTGGCGGTGGTCTCTGGAAAATTCTGCTCAGTCTACCTCCAGCGTCCAGGGTCCAGGAACCAAGAGAGCCGGCCTATCTGGATCTTGAGTCTTCAGGGTCCTCTCTCAGCCCTGCCTTGTAGGTGTGACAGTTACCGAAGCCTCAGTGGGGGTTGATACTTTTAGATCAAAGCTGGAATGGCTGGCTACCCACTACACATGTCCTAGTAAAGTAGTGCTTAGTTTAACAAGAATTCATTTGACTCTGCTTCATCCTTTAAAATTAAATTCATTAAAATTAATGCAAATTGAAAACTATTTTTCTCAGTTTTGCTGTTCACTTGACACCTAATAACTACATTTAGCTTGTGAGGCCACTATAATGGGCACCATAGGTCTAGGTCTTCTGTAAACCTTGCAGATCATCACATTTGCCCAATACATGAATGAATCTTTGTTAACTGAACTAGATGAGAATGAGGTAGCTCAAATACAGGGTGTTTTTATAAGCTACTTGCTTCAGGAAGTACACGGGAAATTCTGAAAATATACTGGGGCCTGTGATGGTCAGTTAAGTTTTAGGAACCTGGTTGCCCAAAGCTTGGCACATCTATCCAAAGGAAAGAGAAATTATCACACCCTGCTTTCTGTTTTGGAGAGGGGAGCATAGCCATGCTGGTGGGCCATTTTAGTTTAGCAGTTCTCAACGTGAGGGTCGTGACCCCTTTGGGGGAATGCATATCAGATATCCCGCACATCAGATATTTACATTACAATTCATAACAGGAGCAAAATTACAGTTATGAAGTAGTAACGAAGTAATTTTATGGTTGGTGTGTCACTACAACATAAGGAACTGTATTAAAGGATCGTCGCGGCATTAGGAAGGTTGAGAAACACTACTCTAGCTCAATTGAAAGCATAGTCTACATGGGGAGATATTACTGTTGCCCATGAGTAAAAGAACAGACTAGATTGTCAGAGCCCCAAACAGGACAGTTTTCTGTACCTTTGCAACGTTGTTAATATCATCTGGTAGAACTTATGTTATTGGGTATGTCAGTGGATGAAAAGATGCCACATGAGAAATGAATCAGGTTCAGTGGCTAAGTTACAGTGCAGTTCCCAAATAAACACTATTTACAATAAAACATTTGGTATAAAGCTTGGTACAGACAGAATGCCTGACAATGGAGTACCAAATAAACATGTGGCTTGAACTTTTCCTCATTATTTGAGTCCTGTCAAGCCCACCAGTAGATTGGATAGGTAGACCCACACAACCATTGCAAGAGGAAAGTGTGTTAAAGATGGTCAGGTCTAGAGGCCACAAATTCACGAGCAGATAGCCCAAATCTCTGTGTACCCACTGCTGATGAGTTTTGAATCTCCCTCAGCATGTGCTCAAGCAAGTTGTTATATGCAAGATCCCATACAAGCTATTGAAGAAGAAGAAAAAGGCCTGATATTATTTACATATCTGTCAACTTACTCACAAAAGCCAAAACTAACACCTCTACACTGTAGTCCTTGGGTTGCCTTCAGGAGAAAACTCTGTTCATTGTAAGAGCATTGCACGTATATACTTTGTATGAAGAGAGAAATGTCCCTAAAATTTTTTATCTACAGACTTATGCAACAAATACAAATTAGAAGGTCAGGGTAAAGAAAACTGGGCCAATGACATATGGATAAACAAATGGGAAGTGGCATGAGGCACAGGAAGTTTTACAATACTTATTAGCACCACTAGAGCCTGCCACAGGAACGCTAAATAACCAAGTAGGCAAAAATGGCTCATCCAGATGATGTCAGCCAGCCTCTGACATCAGCTCTGGCATGACGGATGGATGAAAGAGGAGGCACAGTGGCAGATCCAGATGTGGATGATGCTCATGGCCTCAGCAATGTGGTCTGACTTATGAAGCTGAAGTGTCCGCTGTCACTGCCGAGTGTTCACTATGTAGCAATGGACCAGTGCTGACTATCCTGATGGTGGCATTCCCTAGAAATACCAAATGGCCTCTTGGTGGTACATTAAGAGACCAGGCCTCTTAATTTCACTTTCACAGGAATAGACTTACATAGCCGGTGTGGGTGTGGTGTGTTCTTTCTGTTGGCAGAGCTTCGGCCTGTACCACCATTCAAAATTTTATATAGCATTCGATCCAACCCCAAGAGAGAGAAGGAATGAGGGAGGGAGGGAGGGAGGGAGGGAAGGAGGGAGGGAG